AGAAGATGATGATCCTTATCTTTGAAGTAGTCGTAATCTGTTCTTATACAGAGATACAGTCTAGCTCTCCAAATAGTTATAATCTAAGGCAGAAATGTTATCTTAGGCACACTGGGAAGTCATACACGTAGAAACAAAAAAATGACTAGAGAACAAAAATATTTGGCATTTTCAAAGAGATAAGCTTGTTTTAGGGGTGAAAAGGACAGAGTATACTCTTTGACCATCTCTCTCTCTCTTTTTAAGCATTTTTGAGAAGGCTGCCTAGAGGAGTTATAATTCCAAGTTTAGAAAGCAATTATGAAAATGTAAACATTGGCCTTAAATGTCTAGTGTTTTCACAGTTTCTCCTAATTGGTTGTATTTATTTCCCTTTTAGGGTTTAAAGACTGGGATGTATTATTTAAGGACAAGACCAGCAGCTAATCCAATCCAGTTCACTCTAAATAAAGAGAAGCTGAAAGATAAGGAAAAGATATCAAAAGAAGAAGAGAAAGAGAGGAACACAGCAGCCATGGTGTGCTCTTTGGAGAATAGAGATGAATGTCTGATGTGTGGATCCTGAGGAAAGGCTTAGAAGAGACCAGCACCTCTTCAGTAGCCAAACTGCTTCTTGAGCATAGATAAGTGTAGTATGTTTGCTTGAAGTGGTAAGGCTTTGCTGGACCTTATTGCAGTAAAAGGATCAATTGATTTAAAGTACTGTTTCTATATAAGTATGAAAGTTATGATTTTTTTAAATTGATATATTGGGCATCAAAGTAGACGTTTTAGGAATGCAAAAGAAGGCATCTTGCAAATAGGGAGTGATTAAGGAGGGTTTCATCACCAATCTGGCACCTCTTTTCTGGTGACATCAGTTTTTGTAAGGAGACTTAGTTTTGCTGCTTTGACTGGTTTGTCCATAGAAGCGAAACTGAGTCATAACCCACGAGAAATGCTGACAGGACCTTTATCTGAATAAGGTCCTATAGGTCATTCTGAAATAAAGATAAAAATTTTAAATGATTGTGTGGACTAATTTTGTCACTTACTTTCATACAAAGGTCAAATTTGAAAAAATGTTTTCTTTGAGAGTTTAGGGAATAAGTTTTAAGACAAATTACTTGGTCACTGTATAGAATTCTGACTTTAATTTATGCCTTTTTCTTTTTTTTAAATTGTGGTAAAATAGGCATGACAAATGTTACCATTTTACCCATTTTAAAGCATATAGTTTAGTGGCATTAAGTACATGTGCAGTGTACAACCATCACCGCTGTCTATTTACAGAACTTTTTCATCATCCCAAACACAAACTGTATATAAAATAATAATTCCCCATTCCCTTCTCGCATCAGTCCCTGATAACCTCTGTTCTACTTTCTGTCTGTGAATTTGCTTATTCTGGATACCTCATATAAAAGGAATCATACGATACCTGTCCTTTTCTGTCTGGCTTAATTTCACTTAGCATAATGTTTTCAAGGTTCATTTATGTATCATGTATCAGAATTTCATTCCTATTTAGGGCTGTATAATATCCCATTGTATGTATATATCACATTTTGTTTTTCCATTTTTCTATTAATGGACATTTGGGTTATTTTACCTTTGGCTGTTGTGAATAATGCTGCTGTGTACACTGATGCACAAAGTATCTGAATTCCTGCTTTCACTTCTTTTGGGTATATACCTAGGAATGGAATTGTTGGACTATATGATAATCTCTGTTTAACTTTTTGAGGAACTGGCAAACTGTTTTCTATAGCAGCTGCACCATTTTACCATTCAACAAGCAGTACATGAAAGTTGCAGTTATTCCACATCTTTGCCAATACTTGTTAATTTTTTGTACTTTTGATAATCATCCTAATGGCTTTCGACAGTGATTATAATGTGTTTTGGTGTGGGCCTTTGAATTTATCCTAATTGGGGTTTGTTGAGCTATGTGGAATGATAGAATCACATCTTTTGTTAAATTTGGGAAGTTTTCAGTCATTATTTCTTTAATCATTTTTACTCCTCTCTTTTCCTTCTGGAGCTCCCATGATGCATCTGTTGGTCCACTTATTAGTATCCCAGAGGTTTCTTAGGCTTCCTTCACTTCATCTTATTTCTGTTCCTTAGACTCAATAATTTCAATTATCTTATCTTCAAGTTCATTGATTGTTTCTTCTTCTTGTTCATCTCTGCATTTGAGCCCCTTTAGTGAAATTTGATTTCAGTTACTGTTCTTTCTAGCTCTAGAATTTCTGTTTGATTCCTTTTAATTATTTCTATCTCTTTGTTGATAGTCTGATATTGTTAATACATCATCTTCCTGACTTCCTTTACTTGTTTTCCTTTAGCTTTTTAATCATATTTAAGATAGTTGTTTTAATGTCTATCTAGAAAATCTGATGGCTGGGCTTCCTTAGGGATGGTTTCTGTCAGTTTATCTTATTCCTTTGAATGGATTGTGCTTTCCTGTTTCTTTGTAATGCCTGTGGTTTTTCTTTTATTGAAATACTCCGAGACTTTTCCAGACTGTTTTTGTAATGAACTCTGTTCTTTAGAGCATGTTCAGTTAATGTTTTGACAGCTTTCCTTGGTCTTTGCAGATTGGCTCTGTGCTAGGACACTCCCATGCTTGGCTAGGGCTGCTCTGAGCCTAGGCAATGTGATGGTTAATTTTATTGGTCAGCTGGCTAGACCATGGTATCCAGATAGTTGGTCAAACTCTACATAGAGCTGTGAAGATATTTTTAGATGAAGTTAGCATTTAAAATCATATACTCTGAGTAAGTCAGATTACCCTCCATAATGTGCCAGCCTCATATAATCAGTTGAAGTCCTTAAGAGGAAAAAGGCTGAGGTCCTCTGAGAAAAAAGGACTTCTGCCTCCAGCCTGCCTTTGGACTTGATCTATAATATCAGCTGTTCTCTAGGTCTTCAGCCTGGGGCCCTACTCTGCCAATTTTGGATTTGCCAGTTCCACAGTTATGTGAGCCCATTACTTTAAGTCTCTCTCTCTCTCTTCCTGTCTGTCTGTCTGTCTGTCTACCTCTGTAGATAGAGAGGGAGGTATATGGTTGACCTTAGAACAACTTGAGATTGAACTGCATGGGTCCACTTACACATGGATTTTTAAAATAAATACTACAGTACTATACGATCTGTGGTTGGTTGAATCTGTGGATGTGGAACTGCAGATACAGAGGGCTCACTATAGGACGTGCATCTGTGGATTTTGGTATCCACAGTGTCTCCTGGAACCAGTCCCCTGCATTGTTCAAGGGTCAACTGAATATGTATGTGTGTATGTGGGCATGTATATCTGTCTGTCTGTCTGTCTGTGTATATACACACACACATACACCTTACTGACTTACTCTGGAGAGTGAGAACCCTGACTAATTTAGGTTTTGGTACTGAAAATGGTTCTAGAGGAATGGAGTCTTAAAGAGATGAGCTTTCTGAGTTGATTCTCTAATCTGACTAGATTAAAGCATGACTTTTCAGTACTAGAGAGAGTTCTGATAGTCCATGAGCTGATGGCAGCCACAGAGGCATGCAGAATACCATCATTGGATACTCCTAATCAAATACAAGAGGCAAGGGTCTGGGTGACCGTGTATATGTTCTGCCTCAGGATTATATCAGCTCTCTAGCTCAGTGCCGTACTTTAGTTCATCTTGATCACTTTTCCTTTCCACAGTGTATCACACTGCTCCATTACATTTGAGATGCGGATTGGACCTAGTGAGCGAGAAGTAACAACTACTCTAGGCTTACTGGTAAGACCTTTGTGTATAAGAGTGGGAAATAAATCTGACAAAGATTGAGGGGCCTTCTACCTCAGTGAAATTTCTAAGGGTCCAATGGTATGAGGCATGTTGAGATATTCCATCTATGGTGAGGGGTAAATTGTATCTGACTCCTCCTACAACCAAAAGACACAAGGCCTAGTGGGCCTCTTTGAATTTTGGAGGCAACATGGCAGCATATTCCTCATTTGGGTGTGCTGCTCTGGCCCATTTCCCACATGACCCATAAAGCTGCTGGTATTGAGTGGGGCCCAGAACAAGAGAAGGCTCTGCAAGAGGTCCAGCCTGCCATGCAAGCTGCTCAAGTGGCAGTGGCAGATAAAGATGCTGTTTGAAGCCTTTGGCAGGCCGTTAGGATTTTAGAGCAAAGTCCTGCCATTCTCTGTTGATAACTACCTTTTGAGAGACACCTTTGGGCTGCTACTGGGCCTTATTAGAGACTACTTAACCATGGGTCACCAAATTACTATGCAACCTGAGCTTCCCATCATGAACCAGGTGCTGTCAGACTCACTAAGCCTCAAGTTGGGCATGCACACTGGCAGTCCATCATCAAGTGGAAGTGGTACATTCAAGACTGGGTGCATGCAGGCCCTGAAAGCACAAATCACCTACTGAAGAAGTGGCCCAAATGCCCATGGTTCTCACTCCTGTACCTCTCTCCCCTAGCCTATACCTATGGCCTCATGTGGCATTCCCTATGATCAAGTGACAGAGGAAGAGAAAACTTGGGTGGTTCACAGATGGTTCTGCACAGTATGCAGACACCACAGCCTCTTTCCAGGACATCCTTGAAGGACACTCCATTCTATAGATGACAGCTGTGAAGGTCTTTTAAGTAGGGGTGACTTTTAGATAAATCATACTGGCTACCATGGGAAGAGTGGCCTGATCAATGGGTTTGAGTCAATCTTAAGTACAGATCAGGGCCTAGTCTGATCTTTGGATGAGACTGGGACCCAGGAGAGGACCTGGTTTGGGTGTCTGTCAGACTGGGGGCCCCCAGGTAGGACCTGACCTGTTTGGACTAAACTGGATACCTAGGGGTAGGCCTGACCTGTGTGCCTGTGTCAGATTGGGGATATCAGGCAGAGCCTCACCTGTGTTTGGGACTAATTGGACTCTTAAAACCCAACCTGTGTCCTTGGATCAGACTGGAGGCATCGAGGCTGACCTGTATGCTTGGGCTTCATGTCAAATCTTCTGTATTTGGAAGAGACTAGGCACCAGGGAAGAGCCTGGCTTGTATTTGTTTCATACTGGGTGTTGAGGGCAAGTCATGGTGTATGTGATTTGCTCCATATAACTTCCAGTGGAACTCCATATATCTAGATATTAATTGGGGGTTTTCTCAGGAGTCAGGGAGAAGAGGACAGGCACTAAACTAACAAGGATGAATAGTGAAAAGCAATTTTGTTATTGGAGTGAAAATGAAGCATTATAAGAATTGAAAAAGCAATAGTTTACCAACAGTGTACCTGCTGTTAGGCCCATAATGTCAGGAAATTCCCTCAGTACTCCCTCTTATCTCTTAATTCCCAGAGGTCACAGCTCCAGTTTCCTAAGTTGATGAAATTCTCTCACCCGGGCAATTTCCCCTTCACCCTCATATTCTGCAGCCTCTTTGGCTTCTCCCTAATATCCTGGGCTAATTCCTTTCCACAGAGCATCTTTTCTACATGTTGCCGGATCTCTCTGGTCCTCACCCCGTAAATGACAGGATTCAAGGCTCCTGGGAGCAGCAAGTAGATGGCACTGAGCAGGTTCTGGACATCCTGAGACACAGTCTTGGCTACTCGGAAAACGATGGAAGTGGAGAGACCAGAGAGGTAGATGGTGAGGATGACCAGTAAGTGGGAGCCACAGGTGTGCAAGGCCTTGGCTCGGGCTCCCCCAGAAGATATCCGGAAGGCTGCATAGATGATGTGGGTGTAGGAGGTCCCCAGCAGGGCTAAATCAAAGGTCACGGTGACCAACCGCATGGCCAGCCCCAACCGGTTGTTGAAGGTCAAGTCTCCACAAGCTATGCTTAGCAATGCAATATACTCACAGGTAAAGTGTCGGATAACTGCTGTCCGGCAGAATTGAGCTTGTGAAGTTAGCACCACCAAGGGCACTGCCACTCCCAGGCTCCGTGCCAGGGCCAAAAAGGCCAGCACACCCAGCAGGCGGGAGGTCATCAGGTCACTATAGCGGAGTGGGTGGCAGATGGCCATGTAGCGGTCTAGGGCCATGGCCAGCAGAAGATTGTAGTCCAGGAGGAGGGTAAAGTAGATAAAGAACATCTGGGCCAGGCAGCCACGCAGTGATATGGGGTTAGCATAATGCACAAAGCCCTCCAGCATTTTGGGCACCACTGCTGTAGCAGCACAGATGTTGACAGCCAGGAGCAGGGCGATGAGCAGGTACATGGGCTGGTGCAGGCTCCGCTGGGCCACCACCGTATGGATGACCAGGGCATTGGCAGAGATGATGGTCATGTAGAGGAAGGTAAGAGGCAGGACCAGGAGGAGCCTCCAGTCTCGCAATCCAGGGAAGCCCACCAGGAAGAAGTTAGTGTAGGAGATGTTGAAAGTGCTGGTATTTCCAACCTCACCCATTAGCTTTGGCCCTGGGCTGGTCCCTGAAGTGGGGATCAGAGACTGTTAGAACAATATAGTCCGTGAAAGAAAGACTATTTCTATTTTAGGGCCTGAAGGGTTTGTGATGAAGATCCACCTCTTCATGTATGTATGTCTACACTTTTGGGGTACAGACAGGTACTATGCAGGTGTTATGGGAGCTTCAGAGATGAACAAGACATTCATTGTCCTCAGCTTTTGGCCTATGTGTGTGAAATGTAAACTTACAAGATACTTGTTTATCTGTGATATTCCAGGTATTTGATTGCTGAGTAAATGATTAGGAGGAAAGTAGGTTTGGTATATGAGGGAAAAAACAGGGATGGGCCAAAGGCAATAGAAAAGATGAAGAAGACCCTTGATTAGGAGGGAAAAAAGTACATGAGGAAAAAGTATATGAGGCTTCCAAGAAGCCTGTGAAGGATCAAGTGGGGCTTATCAGGGAGAGACAAACCAGGCAGGAATGATGGCCTCACTTGTGTGCCTGGGTACACTGTGGCAAGGACAGAGGAGAGTCACCGAGGAGGACCTCTGGTCTTCCTGGACACAAACAACAAGTTACAGAGACTTCTCCCTTCCTAAGACCCTCTAGACTGGCTGTGGGGCCTCCTGCCTGGCCTGGTCCTCAGTGTCATGGATGTTGCTTGTTCTTCTTTTCGAATGTGAGTTCCAGGAGAGCAGACTTCTGTTGTGTCCACTGGAGCTCCAAGCACAGAGCCACCAGAGGGACACAGAAGGTGTCTGAGCATTGCTTGTTGGGTAGGTGAATTAGGAACAGTGAAAAGATGGGAGGAGGCTAAGCATTTAGCTGGGCTGTGAGAGCAGTAATTTCAAAGCTTTGGCCAGGTTTTTGTATAATTAAGAGAGCAGATATTAAAAGATGTGTGATTCAATACTGGGCCCACATCTTACCCAGATTCTTAGGGAACACGATTTGGTAGTGACTGGTGTGATGATAAGAGGAACTAACACTGATAGACTTAAAAAATAGCTACTGGACATTTACCATATGTATTCTAAATGCCTTCGTGTATTAGTTTTTTTTTTAACCTTGATTTTACTGATGGAGAAGGTGAGGCACTGAGAGATTAAGTCTAGTTCAGGATCACACAGCTACTGAACGGCTGAGCTACTGACCCAAGCAGTCAGACTCCAGAGTGCATGCTCTTAACATCAGGATGACCGATTTGTCCTGGTTTGTCTGAGACTTTTCTGGTGTTAGACCTGAACGTCTGGTGTCCCAGGAAACCTTCCAGGCAAAAGAGGCAGCTGATCACTTTACTATTACCACTAATTACATTGAAGATTAGAGAAGCCTTATAAATTGTGGAACAGATAGGAAGAAATAGTCTTCTTCCTTCTTATAGGTTTAGGTGTATTGTCTCTGAAAATTGATGTTTATATTGGTGTTACTATAGTCACCCTCTGAATACTCAGAAGAATAAAGAGGAGCATCTCTAAGTTCACAGGGAGACCTCAAAAGGAAATGGATTTGGAATTCCAGAGCCTACCCTGGAATGTGTTTCTGAAATATTTAGAGTATTACTTTAGACTTTGGGAAATGTACTTTTGTTGTGGATAGTCAAGGACCAGACAATCCTTGTAGGGAGGTGGTAAAATTCCTTAGAGAGGAGGTTTATTGAAGACTTTCACAGAGGAGGGTGGGATTGAGAAGCTGAGAGTGAGTGAGTGGAGAGGAGATCTGTGACAGAATAGAGGGGAGAGGAGGAGAATGCAGCCTAGAGGAGCAGTGGCCCAGAAGAGGTTTAGGGACTCATGTTCCTCCTTCCCAAATACCACAGGGTGTCATCCTTAAGGGGGAGAAAGAGCTGGCGTGGGCTACCCCCAAACCTCTTAACTTGGACAAGGTTGGTCTGTCTCTATCACATCAACTGTAATTTGCTCTCCTGTTTTGTATTTTAGGATTACTCAGGTAAATTCCTAAAAAAGCTTCTTTGACACTGGGCCCCAAAGCAGTCAGTAAAGGAACTAGAAATAACCACCTTCTCAAGGAGGGCCAGAAGGGATGGAAAAGACTGTAAAAGATGAGGAGATCAGTTAACTGGCTAATGAAGTTCTGAAGAGAGAGATGAAGAGATATTTCCAGGGACAAATCAATCAGACTTAAGAACCAGTTGGAAGTGGAGAGAGACAGAGGAATCAACAATAATTTCAAGGGTTTTTTTTTCTTTTTGTTTTTGTCTTTGTTTTTAAGCTATGATGACGATGTTAGAGCTGCTAAAACCTGAAGAAAGAGGAACAGGGTTGGGGTGCTAGGAGGTACAATTAATAAACACATTTGGATGTTTTGAAAACTCACAAATGAAGAGATGTCTGGTCAACCACTGGAAATAAGGGTGAAGTGCTCAGATGAAGGATTAAGGGTGGAGATGGGGATGATAATTTTATAAAGGGCATGAGATGGAATCCTAAGGGACAGACAGAGTAACAGGTGTCAGTGAAGGAGACTAAGAAAAAGAAGGAAGAGGGGTAAGGTGAAAACCAGGAGCAAATGGGATGCAGGAAACCAGAAGGGGAGAGGTTTTGCTGCTCTGGAGGCTTCAATGTAAAGAATTTACAGATGAGTAGAGGCAAAAGACCAACATGTGTGAATCACCCTAGGCTTAATGGTCTGAGTAGCAGATGGTGGGGCAGATGGGAGGGCTGAGATGAAGAGGCCAGACGTCATGTGCCCTCTGCAGAAAGAGGCATAGCTCCTCCGCTGTTAAACCACAGACAGGAGCTCCTGTAAATTCCCCGTCCCCACAGACTGGCTGCTGTGCTCATCTTTCTCTCTTCCTTCCACAGTGAAACAGATGTTTCTCCTCTCTTTTGTCCTCAGGATGTCTTGCACTTTTCCCCTCTTACCCCTCAGCATATGGAGAGTTCAAGTTTCTGTCATTGGTGAAAATAAATTCTTCCTTAACTTCATACAGTCCTTAAACTTCCAATCTTTCCCTTTACCATTAAAGCTGAGGCCCTGGACGTCTCTTTATCATGCAATAATCGCTGGCTTGCAGGTCTATCTCCCCACTAGGCCGAAAGTATTCCTAGTGGGAAGACCATGTCTTACTCATCTCTGTCCCAGTGCCCTGCACAGAGCCCACTGCACAGTATGTGCTCAGTAAGGGTTGTGTTGAAAGAATACACGAATGCACCAAACGATTTCAATAAACATTCTTGTTTGCAACTTAGAGCGGGACTTTGAAGTTGAATGAATGAATGAATGAAAAACTAACCCTATCAAGGCTCAGAGATTCCATGTGATTTGCTTAGTCTCACCTAGCAAGAAAAGCCAGGCCTCACAGCTAGGTCTCCTCGGACTCTTCCATCTACACCACAAGCTTTCCCCCTCACGCCTTACACACAGGGCAGCTTCAGACAGGCTCCAAGCAGTCTTAGCCTCAGCAACAGCACAAGTTAGCGCTGACTGAGAACTTTCTATGTTCCAGGCATGGTTCCAAGGGCTCTTCCACGTTGTATCTCTAATATTCACAGCAACCCTGAGACAATTTATTACTATTTATTAACCCAATTTTAGGTGAAGACACTGACGTTTAAAGAAAGTTAACTAATTTTCTTAAAGTATCATAGATATTAAATGATAGAGCTGGAATGTGAAGGTAGGTTTGTCAATGGTAAAGGTGGAGATCAGTTCCAGTCTTGGGTTTACCTGCCTCCAAGTCCCCCCAAATCTCTTGTCTTCTCGCCCCCAACCTCACCGTGGCAGCCTGAAGAAGACTCCTGTTAGTTGTAGCCTGCTGCGGCTTTCGTTTCACCTCTGAAAAGGTGAGGCCTGAGCTCAGTGCCCAGCTCCAAGGCACTGATCTGAGGCTAAGGGGGAGGACGGATAAGAGACCCGTGGCTCCAGGGGATTCCCAGTGGAGGATGAGATTCCCAGTGGGGAGGCATTGCCAGGGACTCAAAGGCGGAAACAGTGAGAAACCCAGAAATTAAGGGGGACCCCAGGGAGAGGCTGGATGGAGATAACACTGTACTAACATTTTCATTTCTATGGCTCTTGGTGTTTCTCACAGAGCAGTTACATCTGCTGAGGGGTTTCTCCTGTTTTACAGAGGAGCCATTAGAGGCTCGGAGAGAGCAGGTCAGGTCAGGTGCCATCTCAGGGGCACTAACAGGCAGAAGCTGGGTATTACTGACTAGGATGAACTGGGGCTCAGCTGAAGGGAGGGGGCTCCTGCAATTTGGGAGTCAAAGGCAGGAAAGGGCACTTGGGTGACAATGGGAGAGCCCAGTGGTCAAGACCTGATTTAGGGGCATGGCGTGTGTGTGCGTGCGTGCCCGTGGGGATGGGTGCCTGCACTTGTACGCACACGCTGAGATTCATGAGCGTTTCCTTCTCCAGTCGGGGCGGTTTAGGAGCTTGGGAGGGAGGTGATTGGTGTGGATACTACTGTGAGCAGCCAGGACCAACAGAGGCACGGGCTGGCTCCTCTGAAGAGGCATCACCAGTTTATCCTCTGAAATTTAAAAATAGTAGGACTGAAACAGCTCCTCTTTTCCTCTTTTACTGCTTTCTTTGGATTAAATATTTTTCATGATTCAATTTCATGATTCATTCTTCTTTGTTGGCTTATTAGCTGTGCCTCCTAGCTAGCAGTTGCTTTGGGATTTGTGGTACACATCTTTAATTCACCATAATCTACCTTTGAGTAATATTAGGCCACTTCAATGAAGACTATGAGATTCTTACAACAGGATTCTTCCCTTTCCCCTCTTCCATTGTTTGTGTTATTGTTGTCATATGTTTTATTTCTGCACAAATTATAAACCCCACAATGCATTATATATTTTTGGCTTTACACAGTCCATTGTATCATAAAGAAATTTAGAAAAATAAGAAAGAAATCAATATTATGTTTGAAAGTTCATTCTTGTTGTATGTGACTATAGTTAATTTTATTGATAGCATCTAATGTAGGAATATACCATAATCTATTTACCTATTCTATTGCTAAGGAACATTTCTGGTTTTTCACAATTGGGGATAGTGCCACTATGAGTATTCTTATACATGTACTTTGACGCCCAAGTGCCTGAGGAGATTTGCTGTGTCAAAGTGTACACATTTATATCTTCAATAGTACTAGAAAATGGCAAATTGTCTTCCAAAGCAGTTTTACCAATCTATAACCTCAGTAGTACTGTATGAGAGTTTCCATTGCCATCTGATGAGAAATTGTAGTATATATACAAATCTACTATGTCTACACATTAGATATTGTGAGGTTGTATAGTGTACAACCTAAACATCTGTATATGAGAGGCTGGAGGTCAAATACCTTTTCATATGCTTATTATTTTTTTAATTGAAATTTAGTCAATTTACAATGTGTTAATTTCTGGTATGTAGCATAGTGATTCAGTTATATATATATATATATTCTTTTTCATTATAGGCTATTACAAGGTATTGAATATGATTCCCTGTGCTATACAATAGGACCTTGTTGTTTATCTGTTTTATATATAGTAGTTTGTATCTACAAATCCTGAACTCCCAATTTATCCCTCCCCATCCCCTTTTCCCCCTGGTAACCATAAGTTTGTTTTCTTTTTCTTTTTTTTTAAATTCAATTTTATATTTCACTTTTTTTCCCTTAATGGAGGTACTAGGGATTGAACCCAGGATGCCAAGCATGTGCTCTACCACTGAGCTATGCCCTCCACTCCTCAATAAGTTTGTTTTCTATGTCTGTGAGTCTGTCTCTGTTTTGTAAACAAGTTCATGCCCTTCTTTGTTGATTCCACATATATATGATATATGGTATTTTCTTTCTTTTGTGAGCTTACTTCACTTAGAATGATGATCTCCAGGTCCATCCATGTTGCTGCAAATGGCACTATTTTATTCTTTTTTATGACTGAGTGGTATTCCATTGAATAAATATACCACAACTTCTTTATCCAGTCATTTGTGATGGGCACTTAGGTTGCTTCCATGTCTTGGCTATTGTAAATAGTATATGCTTATTTTTTTTTGAAGTCACTTTTCAAGTCTTTTGCCTTTTTTACTTATTGATAAAATAAGTAATCTGTCTTTTTCTTACTGTTTTATAGTTATTCTTTACATATTCTGGATACTGTTCTTTGTTGGTTAAATTTATTGTAAATATCATCTCCAAATCTGTGGCTTGCCTTTTCACTCACTTATGGCATCTTTTAATCAAAGCTGTGTCTAGTACAGAGGATACCTTTGTACAAATGACAAACAGATTCCCTCTCTGATGGCTTGGTAAGTGTAATGGCAGAATTTCATCTTTCACTTGCTTTTGCCAGATGCCTTTGTGCAGATTACCTATCTAATGTATTACATGAAGGTGGCAGCTCTGCTTTTGACTACCCCAAATTCTGAATTTTAATGTAGTCAAACTTACCCTTTTTTTCCTTCAGATAGTCAAATTTACATCACTTTTTCCTTTCCTTTATAAAAAAGTCAGTGCTTTTTTGTGTTCCATTTAAAAAGATTTTATTACCCCAATGTCATGAAGATACATTCCTTTGTTACCTTTTAAAATCTTTATGGTTTGGATTTTAACATTTAGATGTACCTTTCTCTAAATTTCTGATAAACAATTAAGTATAATGTATATTATGTATTATATTGTGCACATAGCCTCTTCTGAGTTGTGATAGTCTAGAGCCCTCACCATGATTTCAGCAAGTTCCTGTGGTTTAAAATCAGGAAACTAATATCAACATGATTCTATTATCCAACTTCCAGACATTATCCAAATTCTGTCAAATGTCCCACTAATGTCCCTTTTCTGACCTTGAATCCAATCCGTCATTGCTTGTTTGCCTTTGGTTTTCATGTCTCCATTCTTTCCTTTAATTTGGGACAGATCTTCAGTTTTCCCTTGTCTTTCATGATCTTAACACCTTCAAAGAGTACTGGCAAGTTGTTTTGGAGAGCATCCCTCATCTTGGGTCTGTCTCATGTTTCCTCTTGATTCTATTCAGGTTTTATATATATATAATTTTATATATTGTATATCTATATAAATTTTTTTTGCAAGAATACCACAGAAGTGATATCTCAGTACTTCATTTCAAAAGAAAGATGATACCCTTTCGTGCCGTTACTGGTGATGTTAACACTACCATTTGTTTAAGAGACTGCCAGTTTTCTCCATTACTTTCTGGCCCTATAAGATAATCCAGACCATCTTGTATTTTTCATACCCCAACCCTGAATCAGCCAATCCCCCAGGCATCCTTGATTCCTTTTATTGGAAATTGCTATTTATTGGCACAATCCCCTCACTGTTAACATCTTCTATCTTCAAGCAATTGTCAATGTGTTTTCTTTAACAAACGACGCCTTTCCTATTCAGAGAATAATGTTTTCTCACTACCTTACTCTGAGATCTTTAAAAATACAGTTTCTAGCCTTGTAGAATGTATTGTTAAGCAGTTAATTATTCCAACATACATTAATACAATGTGATAAGGGAAAAAGACAAATATTTACTGTAGACATAATGTATATAAACCACTGTTTAGCCATCTTGTCAGTTACCTCTTGTCACAAAATTGCCGCATAACCAGCAGCTGGAGAAACTCAGTGGCATCCATTTATCATAAGTATTTATTGTTTGCACACTTAGGGTGGTCAGCTAGGTGCCTCAGTGACTTCGGCTGGGTTTGCTCACATGTCCACGGGTTGGCTGGCTATATCAGCCTATCTAGGTTAGCATTGGGTGGCATGGCTGGGACAACTCAGCTATGCAGAATGCATCTTTGTTCCTCCAGCAGGCTAGCCCAAGCATGTGCTCATAGTTATAGCAGAGATGCAAGAACATAAGTGGAAATACTGTAGAAGAAAACGCAGTGCTGGACGGTAGTTACAATGTTAGAAACAGACTTTATTCAAGACTATATTAATAGGGGGAAAGAGACCTCAGTATAGAACCAGGCTCAATTCCAAATATAACATGGGCAAATGGGAATTGATAGCTAAGAAGCAGGATGAGGGTCAGTGGATGGAGAATTACTAAGAGGAAACAACAGGTGTAAGAGAACTCTGGCTAACCTGACCTAACAGAATTCTTTGCTGAAGACAGGCCAGGTGATCAGACATTACCTAGGGGATGGTGGAGGGTGAGGGACTTTCAGATATCGAGGGTGAAGAGTTTCGGTTAAACTGTCTTAGCAGGATTCTTGCTGAAACTGGACTTTACAAGGAAGTGCACAGATGGGCCCAGGAGAAGGTTCAGGAGCCCGACTGAAGTTTGGTCAAGGAAAGAATCTTTGTGAATACCCAGGCACTTTTTCAAGTCTTTGCTTGTATCAGCTCTGCTAACATCCCCTTGGCCAAAGAAAATCCCATGGCTTAGCTCAAAATCAGAATTCCTCCTCGGTTTTCCCACTGATCAATTCCAGTGCCAACAGTGCATATTTTAGATTTTTGTTCTACAGCACCCTACTCCTGCTACCACTGTCTGTATCATTTATCTATTGCCACAAAATTGCCGTGTAACCAACTTCTGCAAACCCTCAGTGGCATACATACAACAACAAGCAGTTATTGCTCACATCTTGTTGGTTGACCAGGGCATCTATGTTGACTTTGACTGGGCTTGCTCACGTTATGGTTATTGGCTGGCTGATGGCTCATCTACGTTGGCCTTGGCTGGGGTAATGGGGTAACTCAGCTCTGCTTCACGTGTTTTTCATCCTTCTACAAATTAACTTGAGAACGTTCTTATGAGGATGGCAAATGTGCAAGACAACAAGAAGAAACACTCAGACAGTTTATCCAGGTCTGATAATCTCCCCTTCACTGAGGCAAGTCACTGCTGTCATTGCAATATCTGTTACAGGAGCTATTATGGGGATATCCCAGTTATTATGCCTATTTTCCTGGTTGAACAAAATGTAAAGTTGGCCTTTCATGACCCCTTTCAATATGTGTAAACTACATAAGAAATAGACCAGAGTTCTCTCTGCTTGCTTGCAGAATGGTCAAGCCAGAACCGTGCAATATTCTCATTTTCTTTATTTTCTGTGAAACATTTTTTGCAACAATTTCAAAGTTGTTGGGCTATTGTGTCTCACCCCAAACTCAGCCTACTATGCTCAGCTTTGTGATGGTGGATTCAGAACTCCGCAAACTATTTCTGTCCTTCAGGCAAGCATTACGTTATATCCAGCCTCATTTCCCACCAGGCCACCAAACCTGCTCTGTGCTAGGGAAACGTGGGGCTGCTGAGGAGTTTCCAGGTCAGCTGTCTATCCATGCTGCTATGTCTTTGCCCATGGTGTTCCTTTGGCCTAGAATGCCTTTTCTTCTTTCTTTCTCCTTCCTCTGCAGTAAACACTTTATCTTATCCTTCAAACACAATTCAAATTCACCTTCCCTGTGAAGTGTTCTGTGTTAGTGTTTGTCCTTCCTCTAAGTTTCCACAGAATTTTGTGCATGAAGCTATTACTGAACATTACCTATCTTTATGGCTTGCTAGATTGGGATTTCCTTCGGGTAGAGATCAATTTTTTTCTTTCTTTGCAATAATGGGGCAAACGTGATGTATGTATGTATAATAGATGTTTGATGAATGAAAGAGTGAATGAAAATCACATGCAGAAAGGAGGGAAGAAAATATAGAAGCCAGAGACAGAAGCTTAATTTGTAGTTAGTTACCGTGTAACGCTGGAGGAGTAGCCATTTTTAGAAGGTGCATCAAAGATTCTCAAAGATAAATGCAGAGAGCCAAAGCCAAAATAGAGCAGAGACAACTCACTTGCACATTTACCGGCTTGATAGTGAGAGTGACTTGAAGGACCTACAAGTCCTAGAGAGTCAGGCAGGATGCTCTCTATGTGAGGGCAGGGACTGGGGCTTCTCAGTGGGGACCCGCAGTTGTACCCTTTGGACCAGAGTTGCCAAGTGCTGCCTTATTTCCTTGATCCTGGCCCCGTAGACGATGGGGTTGACCAGACATGGAAGCAGCAGGTAGAAGGCGCTGAGCAGGTTGTGCATGTCCTGAGAGGCTGTGCGGGCCACGCAGTAGACAATGGATGAGGACATGGTAGAAGAGCAGACAGTGAAGATGACCAGCAGGTGGGAGCCACAGGTGTTCAAGGCCTTGGAACGTGCTCTGCCTGATGAAATTCGAAACGCAGCATGGATAATGCGGGAGTAGGAGGCTCCGAGTAGCAGCATGTCCAGGACTCTGTTGAAGATGTGGACAGTGAGCCCCACAGTCTTGTTTAAGGAGATGTCCCCACAGGAGAGCTTCATCAGGGCCATGTGCTCACAGGCAAAGTGGTGGATCACATCTGAGTGGCAGAAGTGAACCCGGGAGGCCAACCCTACCACTGGAGCAACGATGCAAGTGCTTCTGGCAGCTGCCACCCCTACCAAGCCAGCCAGCAACTGGTCTGTCACTATCTCTGGGTAGCGGAGAGGGTAGCAGATGGCAACAAAGCGGTCCAGTGCCATGACCAGGAGGATGTTGCAGTCAAAGACAATGAGGAAGTAGATACAGAACATCTGGACCAGACAACGAGCCAGGGAGATGCGGTTGAAGTGCCTGCAGAAGCTGAACAGCATGGCGGGCACCACGGTGGTGGCAGCACAGATGTTGACAGCCAGGAGCAGGGCGATGAGTAGGTACATGGGCTGGTGCAGGCTCCTCTGGGCCACCACCGTGTGGATGACCAGGGCATTGGCGGAGACAATCACCAGGTAGAGGCTGAGGAAGGGCAGCACCAAGAGGGCTCGGGATTCCTTCAGCCCTGGGAAGCCCAGCAGGAGGAAGCTGGTGTAGGACACGTTGGAGCTGCCATTGCTCCACCCTGACATCTTCCCTGGGGAGCAGGATGGCTCTGGGGATGTAAGAGGGGCAGGAGGCCTGGTTTCTGTACCTTGGCCCCCACTAGGGCTTGCCCCAGCTTTACCAGGCTTTGAGCTTCATCAGTTTCTAGTATTCCTAGAGAAAAAATGAGAGATTAAAGCTCATAGTTTAATGAGATACACATCTTTCATTAAATCTTTGTCTGCATTTCAAGTAAATTCTTCAGGGTAGATTTTAGATGTAGAATTACTGGCTCAAATTATATAAACATTTTTGAAGGTGCGAAGCAGATTTCCAAGAAAGTTGTATCAATCTTGTCACTGAATCACTGGTGCTAGTATTAAATTGCCATGACTAAAAAAAAACTATTTTAGTACTTTGATGGTTGAAAAATACTATCTCATTTTAATTTGCATGGTCTATTTTGTGAATTTTCTTTTTGTGTACTTAGCCTATGTACTATTAGGGACTGTTTCTGTTAGCAATTTAACTATTAAAATCCTTATCACTTTTTTATCCATTGAAACAGATTTTCCAAATCTTAGTATTTTTATCTTGTTTGTGATGTTATTAAGACTAAGAATTTTAAATTTATAAAACTGAATCTATTGACATTTCTGTTTGTGAGTTCTTTTCTAGTTTTAAGCCTAGCAAGTCCTTCCTCATTCAAAGATCAAAAAGATAGTATACTATGTTTTATTTTTCTTTACGGTATGGCTTAATTTTTATGTTAAGTTTTAGTATACATGGAATTGAATTTGATATGTGACATGAAGTCATGATCAAACTTGGTATTTTCTCCCCAGGTAGCTAAATAATTGTCCTTTTTCCCATTTTCTCCACTGCTTTATGTTACTATCTTTATCCTAGTTTAAGGGGTTGTTTTATAGGTTATTATGTTCTGTTTGTTCTTGTGCCAATAGCATGCTATTTTTAAAATAGAACTCTATTGAGATATAATTCACATATCATATAGTTTGCCCATTGAAATGTATCATTCAGTGGTTTTTAGTAAATTCAGAGTTGTGCAACCATTACCGCAATCAACATTATCACCTTAAATAGAAACCCTGTACCCCTTTGTAGATACTCCCCATTTTCCCCATTCCCTAAAACCCTGTGCAACCAGTCACTAATCTACTTTCTGAGTCAGTGGACATGCCTACTTTGGACACTTAATATTAATGAATTCATACAATATATGCTTTTTAATGGCTGGTTTCTTTCACTTAGCAAAATATTTTTAAGGTTCATCCATGCTATAGCATGTATCAGTATACCATTCCTTTTTAATGACTGAATAATATTCCATTGTATAGCTATACCATATTTTATTGATCCATTTGTCAGCTGATGGACATTTGGGTTGTTTCCACTTTTTAGGTACTATGAATAATCTCTGAACAGTCATGTACAAGTTTTTGTGTGAACATATGTTTTCATTTCTCTTGGAATTGTGGGGTACAGGAACCCTATGCTTAACCTTTTGAAGAGTTATCAGATTGTTTTCTAAAGCCGCTGTACCATTTTATATTCCTATGAACAATATATGAGGGTTCCATTTTCTCCACATCCTTGCTAACACCTATTATTACCTGTCTTTATTATTCTAGCTAGCCTAGTGGTTTTGATTTGTGTTTTTCTGAGAGTTGATGGTGCTGAGCATCTTTTCATGTGCACATTGACCATTTGTGTTTTTCTGAGACATGTCCATTCAAATTCTTTGCCCATTTTAAATTGAGTTGTCTTTTACTGCTGAGTTTTAAGAGAGTACTGTTCTATTTTAATCACTGTAGTTTCATCATTTATTTTGATTTCTAATGAAACATCTCTACCAGTACTTTAGTTAAAGTTAATTTTTGTTATTCTCAAATTTCATTCTTCCAACCTTTAGAATCATTTCGCCAATTTTCAAAAATAAGCCCATTTTGAATTTTAAAAATTGGGATTTCATTAAACCTATGAATTAATCTGTGGAGGACTGACACCTTGACAACATTCAGTCTTTCCATCCAGTATCAAAGTATGGTGTTCTAAGTCTTTAAGTCTTGATTTATATCTCATAGCAGTTTCTGAGTTTTATTTGTGTAGGTTGATGACAATGGGAACTCTGACCGCTTCACTCACATTTACATTCCAGGAACCTAAATATAGAGCCTGATACATAGGAGATAGTAAGTATTGGCTGAATGTTGGATAGGTCTCCCACATTTCTTGTTAAGTTTATTCCTAGGTATTTTGCCATTTGTTACCATTGAGAATACAATAATTTTCTATCATATATTTGAATTGATAATATCTTATATAGGAAAGTTACTGATTTTGTACATTTATCTTATATACTGCTACTTTAAAAATTCCCTTATTAATTAAAAACATTTTCCAATTGATCTTATTGGGTATCTAAGGGAGAATTATCCTTTTCTTTTTATTTTTAAAAAATAATAAATGGACTTTCATTTCTGTTTTGCATCTTTTTTCATAAACCAGAACTTCCAAAATAATCTTAAAAAATGATAAGAAAAGTTATGTTTATTTTTTTCCCTCAATTTTATTAGAACTACTGTTTCTATGTTAAGTGTGATGTTGCTTGTTGGTTTGAGATTTTTCATGTTGATGAAGTACCTTCCTGCTTCTAGTTTTTAATAATGAAAAAAATCAGGAATTTGTGTTTAACATTTTCAAATGCTTTTTTGGCATCAACTATAATTAGCCAATGCTTTTAAAATTTGACTAATTGACAAGTATATAAAATACTTGTTATTTTATATTTTTAAGTACTGTCAAAACTGATTTGCTAGTGTTTCATTTAGAGTAGAGCTATAGGTTTCTCTGTTGGAACTATCTTTATGAGGTTTTGGTATCACAGTTATGCCAGCTTCATAATGAATCAATTCAGTTTCCCTTTTAAATTTTATTTTCTAGAGTAGTTTTTATTGTACAGGAATGATTCATTCCTTGAGTTTGGAGGAAAAAAACTCACCAATAAAACAATCTGGGCATAGACCTTTTTTGGGTGATGGTTATGTAGTAACACTTTCTGATTCCTTTCATGGCAATTAATCTACTCAGGTTTTTAATTACTTCTTAAGTAAATCTGGAAAATTACATCTTCTGGTAATTTGCCCATTTCATAAAGGATTTGAAATTGATTAGCATAGACTCCTACAGGATGATTTACATTTCAGTAGGGTGATTAAACACTCTGACCCATTGAATAAATCTGTAAACTGGTAATACTTTGAGTCACACTCCATGTAGCTCATATCAAATCACTCTATGGAGTAAGAACTATGGTTCTTTAGGATGTGTGTGAAAACATATACACAGTCAGTAAAACACTCAGTGGCACCCCCTGGAATCTATAAACACACCCTCTTCTGGAGAGTGGCTCCAATGCAGACTGAATCCTGTAACAAAAACCTGGCTCCTTTGCTTACTGCTCTGCACTTACTGCTCTGACTGCACTCACTGCTTTGACTGCACTCACTGCTAGACAGTTGCCTCACTGACATCAAAACTCAGACAATGGAGGATTAGGGCCTCAGAAATGAAGGCCATCACACAGGGAGGATTTTCTGTTCATATCCAAGGGGCTTAAAAGGAAGATGGGCACTGCCAACCTCCCAGTACCTGGGGGTGTTGGTAACAGTGATCCCTAGACATCCAGCCCCAGGGCAGATGGGCCCCTCCTCCCATGCCCTTTCTGGGCCTCCGTGACCATGAAGAATACCGAGAATCATGAATTCACAGCCACGTACAGCAGAGGCCTGTAGTGGGCATCTTGTTCAGCTCCTTCCCTGATACGGGTGCCCTCAGCCTGCACAGCCCGCACCTCAGGTTACTTCCTACTGTGTCTCAGGCCATCAGTCCTATGAGTGGTTGGCTTTACTTAAATGTCTTTCCTCACCTAGGCCTGAAATCTCTTTTTGTATAGTGTCACCCCCTTGGTCCCAGTTCTGTCCTCTGTTAACACTGAGGGATAGTTGTCTTCTTGAGGTTGTTTTGATAGAAAGGAGCAGAAAGAAAGCTAACCTTTTTTTAAGGACTTGCCATGGCTGGGCTCTGTTAAGTACTTTCAGATGTAGTTTCCTCCTCATTTAGTAGTGATAGTGTTTACTAGGCAGGTATTTTGACTGAGAGTCAGACATACGAAGTCCCCCTTTATGTGTTCATTCAACATATTTTTTGATGTTTATCATGTACCGCTCTGCTAGACACAGGGGGCTTCATAGATGCATTAGATACAGTTTCATTGCCCAAGAAGCTTAGAGTCCAATGGGGGAAGAACCAGAGTGCTGTGGCTCCTAGGGGAGAAGTCTAACTCAGCCTGTTGGGAAGGGAAGGCTCCTCAGAGAAAGGGCTGTCCAACCTGAGAATCTGAGTTTGAGGACGGGAAGGTGGGGTGCAGATAGCCTAATGACAGAGACCCCAGAATTGGTGGGTTGGGACTAGAACTCCAAAGCCAAGCTCTTCCTCATTGTCACAACACCTTAAGGGAGACACCTGGGCTTGGTGAAAGTCCCGTGGAAGAAAATAAGAAAAAAGAAGATGGGAGAGTAGAAGTGAGAGTATGAACCAAACTCCTGCTGATTTTCCACTATTGATGAGACTCAATTTCATAAAGGAGGAATCCAGTTTAGGCTTGGAAAAGGGTTTCCTTCTGAGAAGACCTGGAGCGGGGGAGGGGGATGTTGGTGTGGACTGGGGGTAGTGGTGTGATTGTCCAGAGAGTTGCCCTTCTTCCTCGTGCCTGCCCTGCCAAACCGTCCCTGGTAAGAGCCTCCACTGCAGCCCCCACCCACCTCCTGGGATACCCCAGAGCTGATACTCACCCAAGCACAGTCAGGCAGGAGCAGAGAGGAGCAGTGGGACTCACTCAGTACAGCTAAATGTACCCCTGCTCCTCCCCCAGGGAGCACAGGCTCTGGCTCAGCCAGTGGGCAGTGCCCTGTGACTAGGGACTCCGCGGGACCAGCCTGGAGCCTGGTCTCCTGACACCCAGGCCAGGCCCTTCTCCTGGTCAGGGCTGCCCATCCCATGTCCCTGCCCTGGAGCTGAAGGGTATGTATAACTCAACACAAACAGGGGGAATTCAGACCTTGCACCCCAAACTCAGGCTGCAGCCCACCCCAGGGTGGCTACGCCAAAGCTGGACGGGGAGTGGTCTTTAGGACGTCAGTCAGTCCAGCAGGCAAGCTCTACATGTCAGTGATGGGTTATGAAGAGTTTCAAAAAAGTGCAACCTTTTACTGAGCACCTACTATGTGGCCGTAGTAGGATTTTTGAAGCATCAGTGGTACTTACATGACATTAATGGGAGAAAGGGAGGAACTGGAAGTAGGAGAAGAGGCTGTGGGAGGGCCTGCTGAAGTGAGGATGTTATACCCCATTTAGACCAGGGCCACCTGCAGTTAGAGACTTCAGGGCACCTATCTAAGGTCACTCAGCAGATTTGTGGCAATGCTGGAATGGATCACCTGATCCAAATCTGGCTCTCTCCACCTCACCCCTATATCTCATCACTGCTCTGGGCCTAGTGGAGGAGCAGATGGGGGTCAGGGAAGGCTTCATGGTGAGGGGGACATTTGAATTAGGCCTGGAAGGTCCGGAAGCAGCCATGGAGGCAGAGAGAAGGGCAGGCAGTGATAGTGGGCACAGTTGATCCAGAGCCTTAGATGTGGGGGCGAGGGCAGGAACCAGTCAGGACTGTGTGGTTTGGAGCCCGGTACACCTC